GAAATTTATTTTTGTGTTAACATTTTGCTCAGTTATGTTTTTATTTTAAATGGGTTAATTTTATGTTTTTCTCTTATACTTTAGTACCAAAACATAGTTGATTTTGATGGACTAAATTAACTACTTACATTAATTCCCTGCCTCCCTGCCTCCCTCCCTCTCTCCCTCTCTTCCTTCTTCCCTTTCCTTCCTTTCTACATGACTCAGCATTTTTTTACTTTTTGGAGTGCTGGCAATGCCCTATTCTTACTATAGGGCAAAAGCAAAGATAAGAAAGATAATACTTCACAGGCTTTCTACATGACTCAGCATTTTTTTTACTTTTTGGAGTGCTGGCAATGCCCTATTCTTAACCTGTGTGATGATTGTATAATAACTATGTTCTGTTCACTGTTCTGCATACATATTGCATAAAATGTAAACAAAAAGTAAAAGTAAAGTAACAGAGAGAGACCAAGATGGCGGCATAGGTAAACACCGCAGACTGCTGCCGCAAACAACCACTTCAAAAATACAACTAAAAGACGGAACGGACATCACCCAGAACCACAGGAAGGCTGGCTGAGGAGAGACTCTTCAACTAGAAGGAAAAATAACAGCACACCGAGGCTCAGAGGAGGTAATTTGTTAACAAATATATTGGTTGTACACATCTCTTTGCCACTGCACATTTGGTGACCTCATGTCGATGGCCATGGTGGGACAGTATTTACATCTCAGATCTTGGCAAAAACTATGGGTCAGGGCTGCTTTTCCTCAGAGACTGGGTTGTTAAAATATTTTAGCACATCCCTCATTATTGGATAATGTGTGGAAGGGTGAGGGGACTCCTTACCCATTCAGCCGTCCTTTGCTAATATAAAGCTCCAAGATTTCATTTAGTCCATTATGAGTAAGGAGATCACTGCTGTGGAAGGAGTAAGAAACCAGTAGAATCTGTATTGTGAAAGGGAAACAGAAGGATTTGTAGTTGTTATCAGAGGCAGTTAGTGCATTCATGACTTTGTTCCAGCTGGTGATTGAATGAATAAAGGTGTAAGATCTACATCCTTGGAAATGGAAGAGTGATAAGGGCTAAAGAGTGACAGGCAGGATTTCAGCCACAGTGGGTTAGAGGTGAAAACAGGGTTCCGTTCCTAAGAAGGAGCTGGAAGTCTAGGCAGGGACATTGTGCCGATGATTAGTCAGGAATGGGGCACTGCCTGTTGGGGCACTGCAAGTGGTCTTGGGAAGACTACTGCTTTAACACCCATTGATTTGGTTGTCACTCTTCAGTTTCTATGTGATCCTTAGAGCAATGCTTCTGAGGTTGGAGAGCGCATCAGCATCGCCAGAGGACAGATTGCTGGGTCCCTCCGGGAGTATTTTATTTAGTAGGTCTGGGGAAAGACCTGAAAATATGTGTGTCTAACAAGATTTCAGGAGACACTGCTACTGCAGGTGCAGAAATCACACTTTGAGAACCACTGATGGAAAGGGAAATCAAAGGCCAGGCAGGGATGGTGGATTCTGAGAACTGATGGTAATGTCAGCCTCCCTAACCTGGTGCTGAGCAGTCAACCATAGTCCAAAAGGTATCCCCCTCAAAAGCCCTGCAGTCAGCCACACCCTTACTCTTTGGAAGGCAGTTTAACTTGCTTGATGGTTTCATTCCTCCTTCGTTCTAAGGTGGTTTATTCCTACCAATGAAATATACTTCTCAAAAGAGTTCTGATGAATCAGTTTTCTCATTACATTTTCAGTAATAATTATGATACCTACAGTATTTTATTGTCTCTGATTGCTCAGAGTTTTGTCTCCCTCAGTCTTGCTCAGAGTTTAATCCATGATGATGAGGCAGTAAGCCTTAGTGATGATTTAAGATGCCAGCTCTCGTTCCTAGCCTGGTGGATACCAGATATTTGGGAATAAGCCTAATTCTAGGCTCTGCTAATTAGGGAGTTGAGCTGACGACACATCTGCCTCTTCAAAGATTGTGTGTGTGTGTGTGTGTGAGAGAGAGAGAGAGAAAGAGAGAGAGGAGAGAGAGAGAGAGAGAGAGAGAGAGAGAGATTGAGAGAGGAAGCTGGGATGAGAAAAGAGATATGGAAGTATGGCACAGGTAGAAGAAAATATCAGAAACTGTACATTGTACATGGTAAGAATTTAAAAAATAGGGGATACTGCAATTATAATATTTGTCCTCTATTATAAGGTCACTATCATCTAATCATTAATAATAATGTGTTAACATCTTCTATGCACATATTATACTGGTACAACTTGCTAATTATGCATATTTGAAAAATCTGTTCTTCAAAAGAAATCTTATAAGGACCTCTGCAAGTCTCACTCAATGAAGGAAAGAGGCTTTGGTTGAACTTGAAAGCCTTTGTTTGGATAAAAATGTTATTATGAGACAGGAAACTCCATTTCTTTTGAAATATTCTAATATGCTTAATTTCCATTAATTTAGATAGGCTTTACCAATTAGTCCAAATTGTGGAAGTTTTTCTCTCTTCACTAATCCTTTGGTCTTCCAGGCTGTAGTAGGAGATAATAATTAGAAGTTTAGTGGGTAACTGTGCATAGGATGAAGAGTAAAGGTTAGGAAGCTGTTTGCATCACACTCTGGAACATGCCTAGCTTTCATTTGCTAGCTCCCGGCTTTCCAGTTTATTATTATACTAGAGGCCCGGTACACGAAATTCATGCATGGGTAGAGTCCCTAGGCCTGGCCGGCGATCAGGGCTGATTGGGGCCTTCCGGCTTCTGGCCAGGGCCTTCCTTCCAGCTGCTGGTCAGGGCCTTTCTTCATTCCATGTCACCCCCTGGTAATCAGTGCATATCATAGTGAGCGATCAAACTCCCAGGCTCCTGGTTGAATTCCCAAGGGGACACTTTGCATATTAGCCTTTTATATATATAGATAAGTAAATTTGTACTCCATTAGTTGTTCTCTACCCTAACCTACACTGAGGCACCTTTGAGAATAGTAATTTCTCAGTTTCACCCCTAGATTTTCTAGTTTAATTGGTCTAGGATGGGATTAAGAATTGGAAATTTTTTAAAAAGCTACCTAGATGATTTTAATGTGCAGCCAGGTTGAGGGTCATTGCACTAGAGAAAAGCAAAAAATCATGATAACTTAGAATAACTGAACAAATACCTTTTGACAAGTTTTCAAAATCAGGGGCCAAATCTGATGATTATAGTGATTTACAGTTTACTTCAGTTCTTTAACATCTTGTGACATGGGTGAAGGAGATGATGATATACTAATTTGATGGAAGAAAATGCTGAGACTATATTAATTCTGTAAATTTCATTTGCTACTTAAGGCAGTCATTTTCAGAAGATTTGTGCTGGGTTATATGTTGTTGAACAGTGGACAGGAAATTGTTAGTTTCCTAGCATGGAGATGGTGTATTGGATTTTGTAGCATGAGCACAATTGTGTGTGTGTGCACCCGTGTGTGTGTGTGTGTGTGTGTGTGTGTGAGAGAGAGAGAGAGAGAGAGAGAGAGAACACGAGAGAGAGAGAGAGATTGAGAGAGGAAACTGGGATGAGAAAAGAGATATGGGAGTATGGTACAGGTAGAAGAAAATATCATAAACTGTACATTGTACTTGGTAAGAATTAGAAAATAGGGCTACTGCAAATGTAATATTTGTCCTCTATTATAAGGTCCTCTATCATCTAATACATATGCATTTTTAATTCAGTTCTTTTTTTTTCATACACAAATTTGACCCTAGCTCAGCTTTCATGCCTTTTTGTTTTGTTTTGTTTTGTTTTGTTTTGTTTCCAGAGCAATTTGTTCATTATCATCCAGTCAAAATGCCATCAATAGTTCTCCTTTGTATTGTGCTGATAAATTGACACTGAGAGGATTTAACAAGTTCGTCATTTAATAATTCTGAATTCAGTTTCATCACATGGTATTGTACACGGTTGTCTGTTGAAACAGATTTCTTTTGAACAAATCTTGGTTTAAAAAAGTCATAGATAATGTAAGTTCTGTATAAACTGGTGGATAGGTAAGTTAGTTCTTTTGTTTTGACTTCACAGCAGAATAAAGACTGTAGGCCAAAGAAAGCATAATCGCTCAGTCGTATAGAAGTATTGTTTCTATAATTTGGAGCTTTCTGAATGGACGAGTTCAATTCAGGCCTGATGAAGCTGTAAAAAGATTACTTAATGAATAGACTGTATGGAAAATGTGCAAAATGTTATTAGCTGTAATCATTAATAGCTTAAACAGCACTATGTTACTAATTGCTATTCAAACTCAAAAACCTGGTTTTGAATCCTCAAGAAGGTAGCATGGGTACACAACCACACCTCCTTGTACTTGGGGGTGTGTCAATACATATTTCAACAGACACTTTGGCTTTAGGAAAGTCACAAACATTTTAAAAATGGCTTTAATTGCCATTTTAAGTATACAGCAGAGGAAAGTGTGCCTTAATTAAACTTGCATTAGACCAGCAATGCTGGCAAGATTGAAAGTTACACCTACTGTTGATAGTTATAAAACTAGTTTGTACCTGACAAGACAATGAGAGAAATAAGCAATCCCTTTGAAACGAAGTCTTTAAAAAAATGTTCACAGTGATTTGTATCAATAATATGCATTTTGCGACAATAATGTACAGAGTGAGCACCCTAGGGCTCTCTTTATATCCTAAAGAAAACGAGCATTTACATCATTCATGGGTTGTACTGAATTGAAAAAAGAAAGTCAATTGTGCACTTACCCCTTAGACAGGATAAACTGTCTGGGGTGCACAGCTTTAACACCATCATTAAACTTGCTTGCAAAAAGGAAGAGATAATTAAAAAACAAAACTTTTTTTCTTGGGAGTGAAGTCTTTCATTTGCTGTGATAACCAGCAAATGCCATTCATTAACTGAAAAAATGGAAGGGAGGGTCCCACAAACACACTATTTGAGCAGGCTGACCAAGGAAGTTTGAAAAAGGAAGGTTATATACTATGTGTTACAAGTCCCAGCTAGGCAGTGTCAAAACGATATCTATTTCTTTGCTTGCTTTGTGATCATACCCCGTGGAGGTGTTGCGGGTCTCACGGCACTCCACTTCTCTGCCGGCTTTAAAATCTGAAAAGAGCACATTAATGTTTTGTCCACACTCATCATGGCACCTGCATTGTCAAACTCTCCACAATAATTGGGTGCAGAAAACAGAGTGACCAACTGCCTCTTTGCAAAAAATTCATATCCATCTTCAACCACCTGATGGGCTCTACATATAAGACCCAAATCATGCTTCTGCAGAAATTTTGCAACCACTTCGGCACCAAATGTGAAGGACACCCCTCTGTCATTTTCACCCCAGCCTAAGACATCTTTATTGGGGTCAGACCACAGAAGATCACAAAGAAGACCTTCATCTGGCACATCGGTTGGCCGCATAATACATTGAATCTGCTCCATAGATTGAAGATCTGGTGATAAACCTCCATGACAGCAAAATATCTTCTCATCCACGATGGCTGCTATCGGTAAACAGTTAAAGCAGTCTGTGAAAGTTTTCCATAGTTTAATGTTGTATCTTCTTTTACACTCATCATAAAATCCGTAAATTCCATTGATGCTGGCACATTCGTGGATTCCTCTGAGAAGGAAAAAATTCTCGGGATATTTGACTTTGTAGGCCAGCAAGAGGCAGATAGTCTCCAGCGACTGCTTCCCGCTGTCCACGTAGTCCCCGAGAAACAGGTAGTTGCTTTCTGGCGGGAAACCACCGAAATCAAAGAGTCGAAGCAAATCATAGTATTGCCCATTGATATCGCCACATATTTTGAGCGGGGCTTCAAGCTCTAGCAGGATGGGTTGGTGCAGAAAGATCTTTTGAGATGTGAAGCACAATCCTCTGATTTCATCCTCCTGCAGCTGGACATTCTTACCAGGCTTGGACCCTCTCACTTCCAGCAGCCGTTGGATGATGCTGTCGACGTTGAGGTTGTCTACATCCGCCATCGCCTTCCCAACGCCACCCTCCCCCCAACCCCCACCCCTCGCGAAGTGGCTCGCGCCCGGGGGACTCACACCCCCTTTCCCACGCCGCCGCGAGCACAGAAGCTGTGGCGGCGACAACAGCCCCCAGCGGGTCCCCCCCCAACCGGCCCGCGCCCTGCTTCCTCCTCTTTCCACTGGAACCGGGAGAGTCATCCTTTCTGTCGCAGCCCGTGTGAGCTGTAAAGAATTTCAGGCACAGGTTGCTTTCATCACCCTTGTTTGCTTGGACGTGTCCATCACCTTCAAGATGTTCTCGGTGCATCCCTCACGTTGGGGCCATTATTACGCTTAGAGGTGATATTGGCCTTCCCAGAGAGAATTGTAGACACAGGAAGACCGACAACCTGGTCTTCTAATATAAAGTCACCGGCTTGAAAGGTGAGGACATGGACCTTGAAATCTTCCTTTTGCCGCCTGCGCCTCCTGAACTCTGAGCGAAGTCATTCGGACTCCAGGGCAAGCTGGGCCACGCGCTCTTTGCCTTTCCCTGCGCGTTTCGTGTCAGCCGGGACCTGAATTAGAAGATGATTGAGCAGGGCCGTGAGCACAGCGCAGGAGCGTTTGCTGGTGGTAGCGCACAGCCACGGTAGTTCCGGGCTGGCTTGTTTGATCGCCACGGTCCGTACTTCCCTAGGGCAGCTCACATCTTCAGAACGAACGTGTCTCAGAGACGGAATTTAAACCCCGAGTTCCTGATGCCCAGGCTGGTGTCTAGAGACTAGACCTGCAGGTCATGCTGCTACCCAGGTTTTCGCGATTGTAGAATTGGGCTGAGCAGCAAATTAAAACGAGCATAGCTTACAAAATAGCATGGTTCAGCAGCTGCAAAGACGTGGATTGGGAGCTTGAGGTTTCTGCCTCTGACGAATAAAAGGAGAGTATCTGTGGTCATGTTCACAGATACGCCACTGAAAGAATGCAAGTGTAAAAAAAATGCAGTGGGATATTTACTCGGGCAGGTTTTCTCCAGATAGTCAAGTGACAGGACGAGAGAGGTTCTTCAGAAGCCATAGCTGGGAACATTCAATCTTGCAATGGTAAGAAGCTAAGACCATTTCTCAAGAGAGAATTCTTGTGGGTTGTCTTGTGGAAACCACTTTGGTCCATTCACTCTTTCCAGCATGGATGGCTACTTGCAGAAAGAGCAGAGGCTTTGGGTTTAATCTCTATATCCACAGCCAAGCATAACCAGGGACATCATGCATTAAACATGAGTTGCAATTTAGCCACTCCAGGTATAATGGGGGCTCCGTTCCTTCATGCTTAATCCTATGTCATTGCATTGTATGAGTGCTGACTACAATTTAGATGATGGTTGCTAATCCTACTCTCATAAAAACATGAAGTTAACAAAAAAATTTTCAGCAGAGTATTTGAAAAGGACAAATCTCCAAAGCATTGTATAGTTAACCCTACCAGTTCAACAGAGCCAAAGCTCCACCATGAGCTGTTAAATGAGATATAGTTTTTACGGGATAACTTCCCGGGATTTGGGGGACTTGTTGGAAGATGCTTATGCTGGTATACAAATTTGTTGTTGGGATGATGCTTCCCTCCACTCATGAGCCAATTCTCCTTGTGTACTTTCTGGAGGAAAGGATTCCTTTGCACTAATATGTTTTCCACACATAAAGGCATAGACAACTTACATTGATTTCTTTCACTGAGAGCGGCAACAGGTTAAAATCTAAGTGAAAAGTTAATGAAATTTTAGAGGTGACTTTAGAAAAGTATGTACAGCTAATACATGTGTTTACACATGTATGAACATATGTGGAGTTTGTTGATGTATAGATCCATGCTGAATATCTCCTCCACTACTTCAGTTCAAGCTCCTTCATGCCATTTTTTTCATTTGGCATGAATTGGTAAGCTGCCACTAGGGGTCACGTGTAGCTGGAAACCATGGTATAGTGCTTATAGTACAAAACTCATGGCGAAATGCCCTCTTTTGGAGAACTGAGCTGGTCAGTAGCCCAGAGAGAAGTAGAAGCCAGATAACCCTGAAGCTATGGTGATTACGGCTTGCCTACCCTCTCTAAAATGTGTGGGCATATTAGGGAGCAGTTGATTTATTGTAAAATGATCCCCTGAAGCAAATCTGTTGGTAAATACATAAAACCCAGGGAAATCCATAAAGAAAATTAGAAAGTAATATTCTTTCATTTCCCTTTCATTCCTCCTCCTTCTCTCCTTTCCTAGTTCATCCCACCCCATGCGCGGGAGCTCATGCTCACTCTCAGACCCTGGTTCTGTAAATGAATCTGACTCTTGTCTCAGACTCAGGTGTACCCTTTTGGCCGTGTCCCAAGATTCATCACTTTTCTGTCACTCTTAATTCACAAATACTGCATTTGTTTGTTCCTGGTTATTCCAGAATTCTGTGCTCTTCTTAGGATAGTGTGAAAATGTTCTAGGTATTACCAGTAAAGACAATATTTTACTGAATTAATTTCTTGGAGAATATATGTATGTATGTGTATATACACACAGGTGTTTTATTGTTCATGTAAGTTTACTCAGAGACCTTATTAAATGGGGAATTTGATTTAGCAGGTCTGGATGAGGCCTGGTTTTCTGCATCTGTAAGTTGACTTTGAGGTGAAGCTGATGCTTCTGGTCCATTGGCCACACTCTTAACAAGGCAATTGTTATCATAGTTAAAATATTTGCATTTTACTAGAAGACCTCAATATTTTCACCTACATCGTGATTCGCCCGGCCGGTGTGGCTCAGTGGTTGAGCATTGACCCATGCACCAGGGGGGTCACAGGTTCAATTCTGGTCAGGGCACATGCCTGCTTTGCTGGCTCAATCCCCAGGAGGGGTGTGTGGGAGGCAACCAATCAATGCTTATGTTTCTCTCTCTCTCTCTCTCTCACCAATGAAAACATTTTTTTTTTTTAAAAAAGTGACAACATGGGAATTTCAGGGTATGGTTTTTACAATTCTTCTATCAGAACATAGAGTCTGGTGGAGTGGGAGGCAACCAATCGATGCTTATGTTTCTCTCTCTCTCTCTCTCTCTCTCTCTCTCTCAAACCAATAAAAACATTTTTTTTTAAGTGACTCAATATGGGAATTTCAGGGTATGATTTTTACAATTCTTCTATCAGAACATAGAGTCTGGTGGTCACTGCCTCTGTATCAGGTCCATTCTGGTAAGCCCTTTTGAGCTCATTGTGTGCAAAGAGAGATTAGAAGATCAAGCAAAGTATTCTTTACTGCTCACAAATTTCAACCATAAGCATTCCTTCCTCTTGCATTCCTTCCCCTCTTCCTCCCACCCTCACGAAGACAATTTAAGAGTTTCCCATGAACAAGATGCTGGTTTTGTTTTATCTGCCTTAAAAAACAAACAGATACGTTTATTGAATGTTATTTTATAGGAGCATTGGGTCCTAATGTTAACCTGGGAGGTGTTTATTGAATGTTATTTCTTAGTTTATAGGAGCATTGGGTCCTAATGTTAACCTGGGAGGAGATTACTTTTATTTCTCCTTCTCTCTCCAGTCCCCATGGCAGTCTATTTCTCTAAGGATTGTACTCTTCCCCCTTTCCCCTTAATTGCCTTTTCAAAACCAGAGTTTAAAATTTTCTTCCTTTCTCAATATTATAGAATGTGTCTAGTAGTACGGCTTACTTTTGCCCCAACATCTATTATGGTGCTTTGTATATTAATATGTGCCATAAAGTCTGAAGGAATAAATACACACTTCATAAATGTTCACTGTATTTAATTGCTTTAGTTCTTTGAGATAACTCTTCTCCATGCTGCTTTTCAGTGACATAAGGACAATATTTGTCGACTTTTCCCCTCTTCTAGCCTCTGGTGATACAATTAATTCTTTTTCTTTGGTATTTTTCAATTAGGACAGCCACACTGTTTTTGCAAACAGTATCTCTAATCCTACCAGTCCTACCTGCATACTTGCAAATATCTCCTCTTTCATGTGCCTGATGTAGAATAATCTCAGATTCATGCTTTTCTCCGTGTTTCATTGAGTTCTGATGCAACTAGGAAAGGTAAGTAGAGATTTCTGATTGACAATTCTTTCTAAAATTTGAGGCTCTTTTGTTTGGTGCAGCCATGGAGAGAATGCAGATAATACAATGACCAGGCCAGAGGACCGGTCTTTTGCGTGATTGTAATCTAAGTGACAATCAGCACTCATTCTTTGGAAACATTCACTGAGCACTTAGGGAGCACTGCAGTGTAACAGGCCGTGTGAGCAGTCCAGGCGCTGCCTCCTGCAGCCGAATTCTGTTTGTGTGGATCTATGCACATATATGTGTTATAAAACTAACAAATTTAGAACATAGTTTCTACTAGTGATGAGAATAGTGAAACTGTATCATGCAAGTTAAGAGGGTTAAGAGGATAAAGAGCAATGGGATCTATAGGCCTAAGTTTGCATTTTTAGAAAAGGTTTGTCTGAGAGGACATTTGAGTAGAGACCTAAGGTGAAGTGAGGGGTGAGACATGTGGGAAAGAGGGTTCTAGGCAGGGGGAGCCCCAAATGCAAAACCCTAAATTGAGAGTAAGCCTTGCAGGCTGGATGAAAAGTAAAGTTCACCTGGCAGATGGAGTGAGTGAGGCGAGTGCGGAGGAGTGTGGACAGAGGGGCGGGCCCATAATGGTGCCTGTGTTAGCTGCTCAGTAAATGGAGACCATGCTACTCTTATGCTTAAAACTTTTGACGGGTTGTATTGCTCTTCGGAAGAAGATGCAAATGCTTGAATGAAAGCTTACTCCTCCAGGCTCACTAGGCATGCTGTACTCTCCCAAATTCTCTCTGTTCCAGTATACTCCCTCAGTATTCTTCTTACCACAGGGCCTTTGTATATGCCAGGCCCACTGCCTGGAGGTGTCCCCATCCTCAAACCTTTGCTCCTCCCTTGAATTTCAACTTCATTATCAGTTCCTTACAGAAGACTTCCCAGTATCATTTCTGTTATATGTACTCGGAGTATCATGTACTTTGTCTTCAAAACACT